ATGGCCTGCTTTACTTTCATTTTCGTTTTCAGCATAGCTTGATTAGCACAAGAAATAAAAAATCTGCTCCCAGCAATTTACCTCCTTGCAGCAAGCAGCAGAGGCCCCCACAAAACAGCTGAGAGCAAAACAGCTGAGAGTCGGGAGACCGATCCAACGGACAATCGCCTTGTGCTAATTAGGCTGTGCCGAAGCTGAAACGAGCTGTTTCTTCTTGCTGCTTGCTGCAAGGAGGTAAACTGTTGGGAGGCAGAGGCCAAGGGTAGTGGCCAATGGGTGGGCGGGCTACATTCAGTGTATAAGACGCACCCAAATTTTCACCCTCTTTTGGGGAGGGGAGGTGCGTCTTATACTTCAAAAAATACAGTAGCTAATATTTCATCCATAATGTTTAAAAACAGCTTATCCTCATGCATTTCGATAAAATCTGTTTATTCCTGGTGCATTTCAACGCATGAGCCCAAAGCTTTCGAAAACTCTTTTCTGAAGTTCAGCAATACTGTGTTTTTCCGAAAATAAGCCCTCCCTGAAAATAGTTAAAAGGCATGCACAGCTGGTCCCTGCCATTTCCTCTGGTTAGGGTTAGGGAGACAGAGCTGGAAATCAGGTAAGACGGCAAGAGGTGAGAATTAAACCTACATTAATGGTTTTATGCTCCCTTCTGAGAACTCATCCTGGACCCCTGGAAGAGGACAGCATACATATTTCAAACAACGCATATGAAAATTCACATACTGATTTCTCAGATACTCACCTCAATGCTTCCACAATCACATTTCTCTCCAGGTTCCAAAATACCATTCCCACAAGCTGATCTGCCTTTGGGCAGTTTCTTCCGAGAATACAATTTCAAGTTTGGCCGATTAGAAAGGCAAGGGGGGCTTTTGAACTTAATGAAATTTTGGAAGTCGACAATGCTACAGCTGCTGAATTTTTTAATTCCGTTTGAATTACTGAAAGAAAGGAGAAAAAAAAAACTGGTAATGAAGGTAAGTGGAACTGATACTGATAGCAATATTCCAGTATTTTATTTTATTTTTAATTTGATTTATATGCCGCCCTTCTCCGGAGACTCAAGGCGGCTTACAATGCGTTAAGCAATAGCCTTCATACTTTTGTATATTTTATACAAAGTCAGCTTATTGCCCCCCACAAACTGGGTCCTCAATTTACCTACCTTAGAAAGGATGGAAGGCTGAGTCAACCTTGAGCCTGGCGAGATTCGAACTTACTAATTGCAGACAGCTGGAGTTAAATTACAATGCATTAGTCTGCTGAGCTATCCAGGGGCTATTGAGGGGCTGCCACAAAGAAGAAGGGGTCAATTTATTTTCCAAAGCCCCAGAGGGCAGGACAAGAAACAATGGATGGAAACTAACCAAGGAGAGACGCAACCTAGAATTGAGGAGAAACTTCCTGACACGGAAGACAATTAACGAGTGGAACAACTTGCCTCCAGAAATCGTAGGAGGATTAAAATCACTGGAGGATTTTAAGAAGAGACTGAATAGACACTTGTCTGAAATAGTATAGGTTCTCCTGCTTGAGCAGGGGGCTGGACTAGAAGACCTCCAAGGTCCCTTCCAGCTCATTCATTCTTGAGAAAAGTCCATTGAGCAATACCCATCCTGTGGCTTTTCCCAACTATGAAGGAGATGTTGTGACCCCGGCCCCGGAGGCTGATTTATCTTCGCATGCTGAGTCGGAGGATGATATGGAGGAGGAGGAAGCTATCACGAGCTATATGCCGGAGGGGCCGTCTTCACTGATGAGTCAGCAAGAACTGACAGTTGCTGACGTGCCTCTGGACCCCAGCCAAATTGAGGAGGAAAAAGAGGCCGGTAACGACGAGGGGGAGCCCCCATTGGATGCAAAAGAGAGACGTAGGAGACATCGTAGAGAACAGCTATTGCCACGTCCAAAGAGGTGTGGTCAGGAGACGTAGGGCCTACAAAGTATAAAAGGGGTGTGACTGAGCTGGAAAGGCGTGGTGAACAATTTGTTGGCGTTTTGGATGCAGTGGATTTACAACTGTTAGTTTGGAGTTTTTTTGTTTTGTTTTTTTTGACAAAAGTCTGCATTCCTGCATTAGCCTGCTGGCCGTCTGCCAAGACCTTTGGAACATTGCCCGGTAACTATTGGACTGATATACGCTTTGGAAGAGAACTATTTGTTAAAGGGCCAGCTTCAGTCTCTCTCTCTAGCCTGCGTTTGTTACTACCGGGATATTTGAGCCTCTGCAAGGCCACTCGTGGGAGGGGACAGAACAGGAGAGAAGTGAATAATAGGAATACTTGCACTGCATTCGTGTGCATTATACAGACGGCTCCAGGGCATTTGCAGTCTTTGCCGTCTTCATATTCCATCCCCAGGCTGAAACCGAGCAGTTGAGCCAGAATGACTGAGAAGGTCTCCAAAGTGATCGTCTTCTCATACTGGAAGAAAGAAGAGAAACCAGACTAAGGAATCGAAGTATTCACTCCGAAGTGAACTCAAAGATTCCTTTATTAGGAGCTCCGGCAGCCCCGGCAAAGAGTTTATCTCTCAACGCAGGCTAACAGGTCCGCCTGGCACGGAGATGAATAGTTGTCTGCCACATCTATTCATCTCCGTCCCCCTGCCTTTTATCCCCCAGAGCTAGGGTGGGATTTTGCTAGCAGCGGTGGCTCTTCCGTCCCAAGGACCGGCCCATAGATTTCCACTGCTCTCCTCTCCTCTCCCTTCTGTGCATCCGCGCGTCAAGCACAGGACCCAGCTGTTCCTCCTCTTCCTCATGGCTGACTTAAGTGGCTCAGTGGCTAAAATACTGAGCTTGTCGATGAGAAAGTTCGGCAGTTCGGCAGTTCTAATCCCTAGTATAGGTCTCTTGCGTGAGCAGGGGGTTGGACTAGATGACCTCCAAGGTCCCTTCCAACTCTGTTACTGTTAAACCCCGTCATCAGCCACCTCCAGACCTGGGGGCTGTTGAGTCTCCATCTGACGGCTGACAGACGGCGCAGGCCCCGCCCCTCTCTCTATCTCCCCCCCTTTCTCTCTCTCTCTCTCTCTCTCTCTCTCTCTGTCTCTCTCTCTCTGTCTCTCTGTCTCTGTCTCTCCCTCCCTCTCTCTTTCTCTCTCTGTCTCTCTCACACTCTCTCTCTTTCTCTCTCCCTCTCTCTCCCTCTGTCTCTCTCCCCGCTCTCTCTCTGTCTCTCTCTCTCTGTCTGTGTGTCTGTCTCTGTCTCTCCCTCTCTCTCTCATTCTCTCTCTCTCGCTCCCTCTCCCTGTCTCTCTCTCCCTCTCTCTCTCTGTCTCTGTCTCTCTCTGTGTGTGTCTGTCTCTGTCTCTCCCTCTCTCTCTCTCTCTCTCCCTCTCTCTCTCTCTCCCTCTCTCTCTCTGTCTCTCTCTCTGTCTCTCTGTCTCTATCATTCTCTCTCTCTCTCCCTCTCTCTCTCTCTCTCTGTCTCTCCCTCTCCCTCTCCGTCTCTCTCTCCCTCCCTCCCTCCCTCTCTCTCTCTCTCTCTGCCAGCTCCATTCCCCCTTCCCCCTCCGAGCTCTCGGGTTGCCTTGATGCTGACCCTGACTCCCACCCCTCCTCCTCCTCCTCCTCTGATTCGGCTGCTGGAGGGGCCGCCGGCCGACAGACCACAACAATTTCACAAAGAGAACAGCAAATTATACATGGGTCCATGACAGAAGCCTTCTTCAGTTTTATGTTGGTTTTATGAACCTAAAAGTCATATTCTATATTGAAATAGAGCAATGCTTTTCTACCTGTGGTCCAGAGACCCCTGCGGGGGGGGCACATCTTGTTACAGGGCGTCTGCGAAGGCTTGAAGAAATGTTAGGATTTAAAACTTGATTTGTCGTGGGTGCTCCATGGCTGCAAACGATATTTAAAGGGGATCCGTGCAGGGGTGAAATCCAGCAGGTTCTGGAGAACCGGTAGCGGAAATTTTGAGTAGTTCGGAGAACCGGCAAATACCACCTCTGGCTGGTCCCAGAGTGGGGTGGGAATGGGGATTTTGCAGTATCCTTCCCCTCGTGCGGGGTGGGAATGGGGATTTTGCAATATCCTGGAGTGGGGAGGGAATGGGGATTTTGCAATATCCTTCCCCTGGAGAAGGGTGGGAATTGGGGAGGAAATGGGGATTTTGCAGTATCCTTCCCCTGCCACACCCACCAAGCCATGCCCACCAAGCCACGCCCACAGAACCGGTAGTAAAAAAAAAATTGGATTTCACCACTGGATCCGTGGTAAAGAAATGGTTCCTCTCCTGAACTCATTTCTGCTTTTTTTCATCCACTGATGCACCCTACGCTTTGGTGGTTCCCAAAGGTGCAACTGGACTTTTTTTTTTTTCTTTGAAAACGTTTCGCTTCTCATCCCAGAAGCTTCTTCGGTTCTCGTGTAATGTTTGCAATCCCAGAGTGGCCACCGGAGCTCCCAGATCTGTGATCACATGACCTCAGAAGCGGTACGATGGCTGGTACTTCAAGAATTGGTCGTACATCTGTTTATTCATTTGGCGTAAGTTTAAACAGTCGCTGGTTGAATGGATGTAAGCCAAGGACTTCCTGAACAAGGATGAATTCAGGGGAATTCTTATTTTATGCGGTTGTTTTTTTTTGCTAGCATCTAAATCTGATATCTTTTATTATCTAACCCAAACCAGCCCAAGATCGAAATTTTAACCCTGCAAAAAAACCTGTGATACAGTACCAGAGCTATGGCTGCATCAAAATTTCGGAGGCACAATTTCCCTGTAAAAGCTGCTCCCACGTAATTTGGCTTCTCTCTGTACCTACAGCACAAGGGGAGAGAAGGGATTAGATAGATGATAGAGAGATAGAGAGATAGATGACAAACAGACAAGACTGACAGACAGACAGAAAGATGATTAGAGATAGATTCGCAGACAGATAGAGAGATGGTAGGTAGATAGGTAGGTAGGTAAGTAGATAGATAGATAGATAGATAGATAGATAGATAGATAGATAGATAGATAGATAGATAGATA